GTGGACACATATTTCATTACGACTGTATTCTACAGTGGCTCAAAGTGAGTAAATTGTCCACCAATGAAATTTTCACATTATTTGCGATTATTTTCAGTGCTCATCAACTTGCCCAATCTGTAGAGTATTCAACAGCAGTGAACAGATTGTGAAACACCTATTTTTTGACGATGGGGACGATTATAACAACAGTTCGCTTCTATCTGCTAGTCGTAACTCTCAAGTTTGCGAACTTCGTCTTGCTGAAGAAAAACTAAGAGAGTTGGAAAACAGCAGAGAAGCACTGATACAAGAGCTGAAAAATAAATACTCCCTTGCAGTGTCGCTGGCAGAAAGGGAATTTTTGACAATTAATAAGGTATTTTTCTATAGTTTCAAAAAATCAACTTCTTCTCAAAAAATTTACAGCTACTTGATGAGAAAGAAAATTTCTCAGCCAAAATCGAGGAGATGGACAGAACACTGGAAACGTTTCTTACTATTCAGAAGAGGTAAGCCCTAAAAGTTAGCATTTTGGGCTAAGAAAAGTTCAATCTAGGCAGCTAGACGATGCGAGAAATTTACAAAGTAAGCTTAAAGAAGAATTACGCGAGGAGCGAGAACAGCTAAGGTTCTCAAAGAAGAAGGAAGTTGAACTGGAAAATCGTGTGAAAGTTTGTATTATCTCCGGCGACATCCAGCAGAAATTTGAAATTTTTAGAGTCTCGAACGAGTGCTGCGTGATGTCCGTGCTACATGGGAGAAACCCCTGAAACAGAGTAAGATTCTGCAGTTTCGACCTACCATTACTCAAGTTTTTTTTCGGTTAGGGTACCTTATTAGGTTATTGAACCATTCATGTGTGCATCCATAGTAGCTTAATTATTTTTACGCGTAAGTGTTTCGCTACTGCAGTTTCACAATATGATTGCCTGTCACCTCACCAATCATTGCCCTTACTTTTACACGACAGTGTAAAGGAGTTAGTGTTATCGTTGATAGTAATAAGCCTAGTGATTCTATGTCACTTATAGGACTTACTGCAGCAGCAAACAATTTTTGAAAATTGTGATTTCAAGGGTTGCGCCCTCGCAATACCGCTACAACTTATAATAACGAAAAACTCTCGAGAAGATACAAAGTCGGGGTATGTGTTGTAAAATCTGGTTTCATATAATTAAGTGCATGAGCTTTTTCAGAGAAGTATTGCCAGAAAAAACAAGAAAACCTTTGGTGGACAGGAAGAACGACTAGAAGACGCGAATTCTGTTGATTAGAAACTCGATGCTGTGATCGTACAAGCCTGTTGCTCCAGATTCTTTCTCCTCTGTTTGACTCTTTTCTCGTTTTGTGTCATTTTTTGAATTAATGTGATTGAAAAATGATAGTTCTAAGGAGTAATCTTGTTATCTTCTGCAAATAAAACTTTATTTAACTTCATGATCTTTTCCATCAATGAGATTACGAAACTTTTCGAAGCTTTTACTCGCAACAAAGATGCTTTTACTCGCAACAAAGACGCAACAAAGAACAAGAAAGACAATTTGTATAAAAGTAAAGTCCTCT